GTTTGCTTTCTGCTGAATATGTTGCAATTCACCTGAATTCCTGAAGTTTTGTTCTTTAGTCTAAAGTCACTTCCCATTTTTGATCCTTTGTTATTGCTGCTCTTACCCTTCAAACTAAGAACATAACAAGGAAAAATAATAAATTGTTTTCCCATTTTGGGTCATTATCGTTTTAGCAGTGACTTCCAGTTGACTTTGCAGTTTGAGGGATGGGGTATTAAGATAAAGACAGTTCAGAAAACTCTTTATGCTTTATGATACCTCATGATGATTTAAAATTAATTTTATAATAGAAAGCATCCAGTTCTAACTATATCTAAACTGAAGCTCATATTTTTTAAAAAATCAATAAACTATTTAAAATCATAATTTGTATGGGAAAAGTATAAGCAAAAAATATAAGCAATTAAATTTATCCTCAAGTCATATTTATGTTGTAATCTGTAAAGATTCTTCTTTATATGATAAAAATGCATTGCTTTTTATTGGGACTTAGATTAGTATGCTCATGATGGACAAACAGGAAATTTCAAAATCATTACTAATACTACCTTCAGTTATTAATGTTCATATTGCACCTAGAATATTGCAATACAAGTTAAAAATATCCATAATATGTTTTCTTCCAGTTTTTCTAAAGTAGATTCTTACAGCTTTTATTTTGCAGAAGCTAAAAATGGAAACTCACAGCAATTGTCATATTAGTCATTAGGCTTAACAATATCCTCTATTACACAGCACAGTGAAAACAACCAGAGGATAGCAATTTTAGAGTTTTAGTCTGTCAGGACAGTCCTAACCGGGCCAGACTCTTATAAATCTGAAGATAAAGTTGAAATCATAGAAAGACTAAGAATAGTTAGAATAAAGAAAAACACTTCAAAGTCTTTTATTCCCTAGGTATTAAAGCCATATTACAGCACAAACGGGTTCATATGTGCAAATTCACCAAAAGTGACACTTCTGTAACAGTAGTTATCCTTTTCACACATTGAATAGATGGTTCTCCATTTCTGTCAGGATGAAATTAAATTCCTCAGCATGGTTTGTCATGAGCCATCTTTTTTTTTTTTTGAGACGGAGTTTCGCTCTGTCACCCAGGCTGGAGTGCAGTGGCCGGATCTCGACTCACTGCAAGCTCCGCCTCCCGGGTTCCCGCCATTCTCCTGCCTCAGCCTCCCGAGTAGCTGGGACTAGCCACCTCGCCCGGCTAGTTTTTTGTATTTTTTAGTAGAGACGGGGTTTCACCGTGTTAGCCAGGATGGTGTCGATCTCCTGACCTCGTGATCCGCCCGTCTCGGCCTCCCAAAGTGCTGGGATTACAGGCTTGAGCCACCGCGCCCAGCCATGAGCCATCTTTCTAACCTAATTCCCAGCCACGGGAGTTCTTCATCTAACCAATCTGAACCAACCCCTTTCTGCTTCCTTAGCCTGGGGCACTCTCACAGGTCTCTCGGAGCTTCTCCTGTCCTGTTGATGTTGTGTTATCTTGGAGCATTCTCCTACCTTTTTCCTTTTCTTTGCTGTGCCCGTCTCAACATTTTGCTTCTTCAAAGCTTTCTCCAGCTAAGTTAGATAATCTCCTCTAAAATGCCTTAACACCTCAACTCTTCATTCTAACAGTGAATTCAAAGTGGTGAGGGAGGGAGATCGGTACTAGGGTCTCCTTTACTCATCTAAGTTCAAGAAAACCATTCTACTTGGGTTTCTGAGGGCTGGCTGGGGCTGGGGCTGGAAGCTTTCCCCGAGGTCATGCTGGAGGCACGTGGAGGATGGGAGGCGAAAACGCTGAAGTGGAGAGAAGTTTGGAGAACTTTCTCTGAGACTGGAAGGGCTCTTCCATACAGAGACCTCCACTGATGGGTGCCTGGGAGATTGGCACTGGGAAGCTCAACTTAGAGTGTCTGAGCCCTTAAAGCTGAGCCTCATGAATTTCAGGGAAGCCCCAGACTTCAGGGAATACATGGCTTAGACGATGAGGAGTCTATTAGACTTAAACCACAGTGAGATGAATGAAGCTCATACCACCCTTTCATGATTACTTGGCTGTCTGAAATTCTTGACCTTGAAACTTTTGAATGGACCTCGAGGAGTAGCATCACATATCTGAGGGGAATTTCCTCCGGAATCCATAGGTGGGAGCTCGGGGGACATAAAAGTCAGTTTAGAGAGAAATAAGAGAATATCCCCCTAGTGTTACAAACGACATCTCTATGAAAAAGCATAGCCTAGTGGGCTAGGAATGATTGCCTTTCGTCCCTTTCTGATTTGGAATTGTTTCCGATAGGAACTGGATTTTATGCATTTCCTTTCTTTCAGCCCCTCACACAAAGCTTGGCCGACTTTGGGCCCTGATAAATAGTCGTTGCATGATGTAGAATCTGTAAGCCTCGTTTTAGAAGGTTTCGTGTGGTAGATATTCCTTTGACCACCTGAAAAACTTCATTTTGGTACCAGTAATTCGTAAACCAATAATTTACATCTAACAACAAAGTCGTTTTTAGAAGGTGCATGTAAGTCCCCCAAACTGTCAGTTAATAGAGCACTGAGTGTAATCACTCGTATTTTGGTTGCGTAAAAATGGTTAGATTCGAATTTCTTACATTTGGTTTTAATTTCTGACATGCCAAAGCCTGTTTATTCATGCCATTTGGCATAAACTCCTTCTGTCGTGTGTTTTGTCATGTTAGTCAAATCTGGAGAGAATACTGTACATGTATTTTGCTTTAATCTGAAAACATTGGCAGAATTTGTTCAGACGTCGAAGGGCAGATCCGCTGATCCAATGACAAGGGTGTGCCTGGCATCCAGCAGGGCCCCTGTCGAGGCAGGGATCCCTGCGGGCGGATTGGGGTTCTGCATTGAGATGCACCGCGCAGCGCCGGCGATGGTGCCGCCCTGGGACGATCTGGCCTGCCAGGGCCTCTCTGCAGGCCGGGCGGGGCGGCAGCGCTGCGGGGCAGGCGAGGGGCGTGGGAGAGCTGGCAGAGGGTGCGCCAGAGACCGCTTTCCCGAGCGCGATCGCCCCGGTGGCTGCTGGGGAGCAGAGGGGCAGGCTCGGGCAGCTCCTCAGCTGTGCCGGCGATGATAAAACTTGAGAAATAACAAGGAGTGGCCTCTCCGCGTCCTCTGGGTCCAATCTGGTTTCAGGAGTGAAGTTGCTCCCGGGCAGGCAAGCCTGAGAGAGGCCAAAGACACTTAAAGACAAGCAGCGGCGAGAAAAGCACCTCCGCGCCCCACACCTCAGCAGGTCTCGCTCTGGGCACCCTCCTGGCGCCCGCGTTCTCCTGGCCCTGCCCCGCATCCCGATGGCCGCCGCTGGGCTCCGGCGCTCAGTGCGCGGAGCCGCCTGCCGGCAGCTGCTGCTGACCCTGGTGGTGAGCCAGACCTCGCCGGATAGGGCTGGGATGGGGACGGGGGTGGATCGGCTCTGGACGCTGCGCGGAGCTGGGGCCAAAGCGGGCCGAAACGTGACCACCGCGGCTCAGATCAATGCTGCGGGTCTGGTAGCCGCCCCAAGTTCGGGCCTGCAAGAGTGAGGAGAGAAAACGCGTGCTTGCTGGTCGACTCTGGACTCAGCTTTTTGTTTTGAGACACCGCGTTCGATTGTCGGAATTCTGAGTCGCGCTCAGGCTTCGCTGCGCTCTGGCGGGCGCCGTCGCGGGTTGGGCAGGGGATTGGGATTCACGCTCCTCCCCAGGTGGTGGAGCTGCTGGTGGTGGTGGTTGGAGGGCGCCTTTGGGTGGAGAGGGAGGAAGAGAGCTTGTTGGTCAGTATTTTAGGATCCCTGAGAGCTCAAAGCACAGACGTGAAATGGGATTTAGGGGCTGCCCCCTCCCCCGCTCCGGGTCCCAGTTGACCTGGATGAGTTCGTTAGTGTGTGCAGCCGGGGCTGTGTCCCTCGGTCCCTTTGTGGGGCTGCCCCTGAGAAGCGGGTTTCTCGGTATCTCCCCTAAAGGGTATTCAGAAGCTCACGCATGCGGTCTACCCCCGCCAGCCTCCCAGCCGGGGGCGGGATGTGCCCGGGGCGCTAAGGTGTGGGAAGGCTGGGCCAGAATGGGGGTTGGGGTCGTGTTGTGTCTGGGGGATGCGGCCGAGGTGGGGAGACGGGTAGAGGGTGACAGTGGTGCGGGATGATGGATGCGGTGGGGTTGGGTCGTACTCGGAGGAATGAGCGATCAGAGCACAGCCTGGGGTTTCGAGTCTCCGGAAACCTGCCGCCCAGGACCAAATCCTCTAGGAGAGAAAGTTAGAGACAATGCTCTGAGAACACGGGAGACTTGAAGTGTTCAGAACTCTGGCGGCGCGGCTGCACGCGAAGCTTCAGGCTTCAACAGAGTTTCATTCCGCACGCTCAGAAGGGATCCGCGGACCCGCGACTTCCCCGCATCCACGGATGTGCATGGGGTCCGACAAGAGCGAGGTGTATAGTATCCGCGTCGGCAGTGAGTCGAATCTGGTCTCGCGGATTCTCACTGCTTCCTGGCCCTCCACCCTGGCAAGTGGGAGTGGGTCTAAGGGTTGTCCTCCCTTTAGGTCAGCGAGATATGAATATGGGATTGGTAGTTATGATCTACGATATGTTTATGCAGAAGGAATTGGACAAATAAGCGCATCTATTTGCCCGGGAACTGTTCCGACAAAGTATCTGAGCTTATGAAATGACTACAAATGCAAACTGCTTGCAAAATGTGTTCTTTTGTAACATATTTAAAAGCTTTTTCAGCTTTTCAGTTTACAAGCATGCATTTGGGGTTTTGTGTTTCCTTTACAAAGGGATTGAGGATGGGGAACGAAACTGCGGGTGCTGCTCTCAGATTTTCTCGCATTCGCTCATGGTTTCTGGAGGCCATAGAAGACCAGGAGATGTCCTGGCAAGGCATGGGTGGGGGTGTCGGGCTGTGGCAAGGAAGAAGGTGGGCGTAAATCTAAATGGAGGAAGCTTCAGCTTTGATCTAGGATATACTGGTTTAAGATTTTCTTTAAAAAAAATAATTCCATTGAGTTTAGATTAAATGCTATATCTGGAGACTTAAATATCCGAAAGTGTACATAAAATGACAGTTGCTTTCATCTGCAATTGTCAATTTACAAACACTTGCAGTTTCGGACCGAATGGGTAAATTAACACTTCTCTTGACCATCTCATGTCTGTATTTCCTTCCTTTTGACTCATACGACTCTCAACTTTTCACTATAATATTAATGACATAGCATTTTAGAAACACTTTTCATTTTATAGAGACTTTAATGGGTATCTTTAAACCATTATTTATCTTTAAAACATTGCTTGTTCTAAGGAGACAGCTTTTCAAAGCAAGTCTTTAACAAGAATCTGAGACTTGTTAAATTTTAGTCTTCCCAGTAAGCAGCCCAACAGGTTGAGGAATTTTCCCATTCCGCACTTTTCCTGTATCTCCTTCCCAGCCTGTGCCCCACCACACTCTGAAGTGTAAATACAATTTCTAATAATCACACGCACAAAGAAAAAAATGAGAGGGGAATACTAAAAAAGAAGTATATCGGAGCATCTCACTATTGTTAAGTTTTTGATTGCCTCAGAAAGTGTATTTTCTTCTTAATGTAACCAGAATTGTTAGGGATGGTGGAAACTAATTTTCATGAGATCAGTTGTCTTCTGCCTGTTACAAATAATACGATTCTTTTAAAAATGTGTGTTGATACTGTTACCAAATCCACTTTAAGAATTATGTTATCTATTATACATTATAAATGGCACATACTTGGACACAGCTAATCCATCATTTTGTTAAACGGGCTCCTTTTCTAAAGGAACTAAAATAGTTGAAACTTTTGAAATAACTCCCCTCAAATCTGTACTTTTCCTCTTTGGAGTTTATGAACTCTGCCTGCAACCTATGTTGATAAATAGGCATCCAAATTTTTATATTTTATAGGGTTAATGTGAATAATGTGAGTCCATACCAGAAAAACTTATGTGGTTGTTTTGCTCTTGATAATAGTTGATATATTCATCATTTTAAAATGAAAGGGACTATAGTAATTTCTAAAGACTTTTACATTCACGAAAAGAAGATTATGGCAAATAAAGGAAGTAGATGAAAACTAGTTTTAAAACTGCAAGCTTAAAAAAGTCAAAATTGTAGTATAGGTATATTTAGATTGATGCATTGTCAGCTACCTTATTAAAAGGAGATTGTTGATGTTCCTATTGAGATACAGCTAGATACGGAAGCACGTTCTGAATAAATAAATGTAAACTCATGCACATTTTTTGGTCCTGTTGTAATTCCCATGTGGCAGTCCTGTTCCATAGATGGTATCTGTGGTGACCTGCAGTTAATCATACTTTCCACTGAAAGTGTGATAGCTGGAATTCCCATCTTACAATGAGTTTGGGTAGAAACAAATTTATTATACTCATCTAAGTACTGAGAATGCAGAGCAGTAAATCTTGCAATTTACTTTTTGAAGTGGTAAGAATTGGAAAGGTAATATTTCCATTCTGAAGAAGACTTATGGCCACAGGAGAGATGAAGAGTTTAAAATTCTGTAATTATTGTGTTCAACCCAGAAGATGCTCTTCACATTTAAGACATACCATAAATTTCCATTCTTTTTCTTCTTTCTCTACTGAAGCAGGGTGCCATTTTAGAAAGCCTACTTTGTGTATTTACTATAAAATTAAACACTAGCATAAAAGTGAAACAACTGCAGACAACACCTTTAATTTTCATTCTCTCTTTGGCATTAAATTTTTCAATCAGGATTTAGTGATTTGTCTGATAAGCTTTCTATCATGCAATTAATACAATTTGCTTAGTACTGTAAAATGCAACAAACCAATTTATTTTGCTTAGGCTGCAGTAGGTAATACTTTACATTATCATTTTTAAGCTTAGTTTTTTATATTTTAATTTAAAATATGGGCACTCTTGTATACAGAAGTTATTTTTATTATAAAATAACTTTAAAGGTCATTAGTTCATCATCGTTAATATACTAGCGTCTTTACATTTTTTTACTTTATTTTATTTTCAATAATGCATCCAAACCTCACAAAAACATAATCTCAATTGAATTCATAGTTTCAAGAAACATACTATAACTGAAGTCTATATTGAATATTATCCCTTTCAAAAGTTGTCTTAATGAATTAACTGTACATTCTTTCTAATAAAGTCCTATGTGGCAATGAAAATCAATGAACTACTGCTATATAGTTAGGAACTTTGAAAATATTAGTAATGTTCCATTTCTTAACCTTGAATGTGAGTACCCTAATGTTCATTTTATTATTTATTAAAACACACACGTATGCTATATGTAATCTTTGGTATTTATAATATATTTTAGGCAGAACATTTTTAAAAAAGGAAAGAAATGAGCAGTAGAGGGTATCAACTAAACCAAACCTCTTGAGTATAGAGAAAACCCTGCTCCAATTGAACAAGTAAAAACAGAAAAGGCATAGATAAAACAATATTAGGAATGAAAAGGAAGTACAGTTTTGGAGAGAACAAAGGTTAAAAAGTAAAATAATAATATTAATAGATAATTCCAATTAATTTGAAAATACAGACAAAACAGACAACTTCTTACAAAATACACATAACCAACATTGACTTGAGTAGGTATACAAAACCTAAATAGACCTATAACCATTAAATAAACTGAATTAGAAGCCAGATAGCTCCACACACACTTCTTTAGATCCACCAGGCCCGGGCTTATGATAAGTTAATTCTTTCAAAATTATATGGAACAGAGAGTCTGTACTTTCTGTAAATTGTTTCAAACAACAGAAAAATACAGTACTCTTCTTAACTCTTTTTATGAGGATTGTATGAAGTTGAAAAATCGTAGCCTGATCTTACTTACAAATATGTGAAATGTTGAGATAAATTGAAAGCAAACCAATATATTTGTAAGCATAAATGTATGATGTTCCTATAAGGCTTATCTCAGGAAAGGAAACATGGTTTCACATTAGAACATCTATTACTGTATTTTAACATAGAATCAACAGAGAAAATGTATCAACAGAGAAAAACTGATTATTTCAAAATAAGTGGAAATAGTTCATTTTAAAAGAATTCATATAATTCATAGTACACTCAGAATATAGAGAATGAACTTTTTTTTTTTTTTGAGATGGAGTGTCACTCTGTCAACCAGGCTCCAGTGCAATGGCATGATCTTGACTCACTACAACCTCTGCCTCCCAGATTCAAGTGATTCTCCTACCTCAGCTTCCTGAGTAGCTGGGATTACAGGCTCGCGCCACCACACCCAGCTAATTTTTGTATTTTTAGTAGAGACGGGGTTTCACCATGTTAGTCAAGCTGGTCTCGAACTCCTGAGCTCATGATCTGCCTGCCTCAGCCTTCCAGTG